GGTTAATACAGTGAGAACTGATCGACCTTGATAAGCAGGTTTGAAATGTGCCAAATGTTTTAAATGTTATTTAAATAAGATTGAGGTCTTTTTTTGCTTAGCAATACCGATCAACGGTGTGATCCTACTTTTTATTGAGTTTAGTTTTCTGCACCCATCACTTTCCTTTTCTATTTTAACCTTTACTGAGTTTTTCTTTGTTGGTTAGTTTTTGCTGAACGCTATCCAATTTAATGACGTTGTACAGTCATCTAATTTTAGTGGTGGCCATTAAATTTTACCTTTCTAATTAAATATATTTAAAACAAAACTTCTTGAACGTGTTTGAATTGCCTACGCTTTGACAGTTTACCGTTGTCGATACAACAGCAAGCATCGATACTTCTAGGTGTAAATGAATTACAAACATTGCATATACCTAATACTTAACGCAATTTCCAAATATAACTTTAAAAATACCAAGTAGGTAAGTACCCATCGTGAATCATTACATAATCTATACGATAAAACAACTGTTATTTGTTATTACACAATTTAAAATACCGGCCATTAACACGCAAAACGCGTAATATTTGTATTTAGAATAGTTTTTATTGTCTATGCTGTCCAAATGTCATATCATTGACATGTTAACAACCACTTACCCGCTCTTTTTAACTTTCGCCATTTTTTTTAGTTGACGTTGAAAGATACAGCGGTAATTATTTTATTACGAGGTTTTTATTATGTACCTAAAATCATTGGACACAAATTTACACCTGGGTGATTTTTATAATAATGCCAATTACTTAATTATATTTTTTCTTAAAAGCCAACAAAGTATGTAATTCAATACATTTTCTCCTACTAACTAATAAAGATAAACAGTCAATATTACAAACGAAATACGAATCATAATTAGCTAAAATAATCTAAGTTTACCTAAAACCACACCTAAATAAATTCACCACAAAAAACATGACAAAATAAAAAAAAAAATGTTAACAAAGCCATATTAAATTTGTAAAATGGCGTTCAAATTTAAATTGAGAATGAAAATAATTCCATTTTAAACATGCAAGAATGGAAATAGATTTTGCAGTGTAAGAAATATTCAGGGTCAACAACCGAGCCCTGAGTCGACCTTTGATGGTTCATTGAAGTGCCTGCTTCAAGATTGTCAACAATCTGTTTAGGATTTTACATAGACAGAATTGTATTATATGGTATACACTTTATGGGCTATTTTTGTTTAATTTCGACAACTTAAGAATGTTTATATAAGCGATAAAACGTAGCCATAAACTGTCCAAGATTCTCATTTAGAGCAAAAAGTCTAGATACATTTATGAAGTGGTTTATTTTCTGCATTGTAGACCTTATTGACCATAAAAAGTTTAAGCAAATATCATTCCTCTTGTCTAGTCGCGTGTACTAAAGTTATACAGACATTAATTTAGTAGTGAATGAATTTTTAGATATAAAACAAACTATCACTTTTACAAACAAAAAGTAAATAATGAATTTACTTTTGTAGATAGGCCATAAAATGGCACTTTTACACGTCAATGGTAAATAGAAAAAATCTAGATGAAGCCAGCATTTCTATCTGACTACTCTGAGAAGAAATGACGAAACAAACTCAGACGTGCATTCCTTTTCTACATACCTCTTTTCTACTTATGTCAAAGTATTTTTTTTTCAAGCGGGTAAAACCACAACTTTGAATTATTGTCCATCAGTCAATCTTAGATGCTCGTTTCAGAATTCAGATTCAGATGTCCATATGAATCAAAGACGTAAGTATAAAGAGTTTTTTGCTAAGTCTTCACCTTTCGGTTCTTCACGATCGGACGAAATTTTTGGAAATCGTCGTATGAAGTTAATACTAAGAAGTACCTACTAAGAAATTATAAAGTTTATTAACCTGTTTCTTAAACATGCACTTTCGTTGATGAAATTGCTGAAACAGATTCTCTTTGCATTCTAAATAATTATTTGCTCAAGATTTTATTTATATCTACCTACGCTTAAATAAAATTTTCTTTGATTTTTTTTTAGTCTAGACGTAAAGTGAGATTTGTTTTAAATTACAAAAATGTGCTATTTTAAAATACTGTAATAGTAATTTAAGTAAGAAAGAAAATTATTTGTCATTTTTTTGAATATTTTTTTTTCCTAAACGTAAGTAATGTTTTTTTATCTGTTATCGATGATATAACCCATTGTACGTTTCAAAGTGTACAACCTGAGACTTCTATTGTTACCCAAAAGTAATACAATACAAATTTTTAATTAGTCTATAAGAAGTTTTCTTTATAACGAAAAATCTGTTTGTAAAAATATTAAAATGAGACATTTCATCAAGAACATTAAGTAAAAAAGAAATAGAAAATTAGGTGTCAAAGTTTTCAAAGAGGTCGGCTTTTTAGGTAAAATTCTCATTACCGGTCACTTTTTACCTACTTACAAAACATTTTATTAAAATATTTCACCAGTTTTTATAAAACTCTTTTTTTCTAGAATCTGTTGTTCATGATTGACGTGTTTATTTGTAAGTACCTAAAATTAATTTCAGTTTATTATTATTTAAAAAAATATTCTTAAACTGTTATACCTAAATAAGTTTTTTCTAATGATAAATGTTTTTTTTTGTTATTTGTAGGTAATATGTCATAGTAACTAATAGAACGTTTTCTTACATGAAATCTAACGCGCTGTGCACAAAATGACAATTTTTTCTTCACTGCAATTAACACACCTAAATCACACTTTTTGTAACCAATAAGTAAACAAGAATATTCTAGAATTAATAACGAACACACGCAACTGGGTACATGTGAGTTTCCCTTAGGCGATTGCGGTAAAGTAGACATTACTTAATACGACTGTCTCTGCTAAATATTGCCGAGTACAACCGGTCCATAGTTACCTCACGCATGATGTTGGAACACCCATGTAACTGAGAACGGACTAATCTTAAGTAGGTACATTGCTACTGGATTCTATAAGAGATGAGCAAAAATGCGCGCCATCGGTTGATAAGTCCAAGGAATGAGGCATAAAAGCTTTTTAAATTAGCAATAATAAAAAAAAAACATTTATTAAAGCAGTGGACAAAGCATTGTGTAAATGTATTACCCACTTTTTTCTAGCTAAAATTGAGTACCTCCTTTTGAAGAGGACGAGGTGACAGGAAACGTTAGGACTATTGGGCCTCATTTAGGGTGATGTAACGGGTCTTGTGGTTCATTATACATCGAGTATGATGTTCACATGTTTGCGTTTACGTAGACAATGACGCGACCTTCTACTGCAATGTACTACAAAAAAATGAACCGACCAACGTGTTCGGGTAAACCTAGCCTCGAAGTAGCTCAAAACCTCCCTATTCCATCTCCCGTTCGCGATCAGGGACCTTAAATGTCGTTGCGCTTTAAAAGACCTGCCGTGCCGTTATGATTATGTTGTGTAGGTAACCTAGGTACATTGGAATTGTTATAATTTAAGACCTGTAGTGTACAAATATCAGGTAGTTTCTCGCAGTCCAGACAAAGTAATGCAAGTATTAAAGAAAATTAGAAAGCTGTTATAATGTGAAACGGTTCACTCTATAAACTTCAGTTTCCCGTTCCAGTTGTGATGTCAACGAACGTATAACTTGGACATAACTGAGGAATGTACTGACGTGTCAACTACAAACCTGTCTTTGAGACAAAATAGTTTATTTATAAATAAGATGCTTTTAGAAAATCATTTAGAAAGAATATCTATCAAACTGTATTTTTCTTTGCCGTTATTAGACCATTCTTATAACGGTGAGGTGAATGGTCAATAAATAATTGCACGTATGTGTTTTTTTCACCTATATAACCGCAAAAGAGGGGTAATTTTAAGGTAACGAATAAAAATGATTTAATTTTTTTTTGCCTTTGCTTAATGCCTACGTCCTTCTTAAGTTTGTACCCACAACTAAGATTTTCAACATTTATTACACTATCTTGTTTTTTAGAATATTATTAAACACTATAGAACATATTCCTTTTTTGATTAAATTTGTATCACAGTACATTTTTAAATTTCAAAACTATAGTAGCGAAAGAGCGAAAAAAGAATCCGTTACTGCCTCTTTCCGCATGCCTTCAGTACAAGAAAAAAAGATCAACATTCTATTACGGCGTAACAACTAATAAATTTTAAGCACTTTTAATATAGCAATACCCTGTTATTATGTTTTATATATAACTCATAACTTATAACATAATAGCCGATAAGTTCATAACATGTTAGATAATATGAACATACGTATATGAACGTAAATGTACAAGTAATAAGGAAATGGTCCCTCCGTCTCTTCGCCAAGTTTCCTCTCATCTGCTACAGACCACTGAGGAGCCACTTTCACTGTGAGCTAAGTTCCATCCATGACATAACACGGTCAGTAATATAACCTTTTTGCACTCATATGAGGTTTTGTTACATATCATGCCTTTGATGACTTATTCAATATTGTAGGTACATGAAAAGACAGATACCTATTACTTTTGGCAAAAATACAGATATTCGCAATTTATTTTCTAGCTTTCCAAATTTGGATTCTTTTTTCAAATGTTCTAAAGAATTTTAAGAAATTTTATAGTTTTTAACGAAATACTAATTGTAATGTAATGGCATCTTTTTTGTTGATGGGTTTTTTCGGATGATGGATTTGATCGTTACAAAAAAATAAATTAATAATAATAAACTTCATTTTCTTGTATCTCAATTAATATGAAGATGCCTTCAGTAATAAAACCGGCCTTACTAGAATTTTCTATAAATAGACCAATTTTAATACCAATGCTATAAATAGGCCCATTCAGATGAAATCTTTCCGTTACTTCTAAATATAGCAATCAGGGTCACAGAAATTTAATAAAAATTAAATCTACATTTTTTTTGTAAAACGTAAAACAAAAAATAATATAAAATATAACAATCGAATTAAAAATAGCGATTAAATAAAAATAAAGAAAACTTACGCGTAAAAAGGTCCGTCACCGTTGACAACACACACTTGAAAAAAGTTCGATTTATAAAAAAACCGTTTCAAAGATGGCGTCTGTTTCTGGCGCGTTCGCGAGATACAACTGCGGAATCGTCGTCGGCGCAGGTGAATGTGCACGTCACACCACCACTCTTGTTTCGCGGACCATTAACCGATTATAGATGCACCCTCTTTTCTTTATAAACACAAGTTTTAAATACCCTTTTTAATTTACCAGGGTAATACCACTTGTTATGTATGTACATTGAACTTTGCCTATTTGAATGGACGATTGTTTCTCGCGATGCGTCTTCCATTTTTATTAAGCTTACTTTATGCACTTGTAAGTTTTGTCGTTTATTGTTGCTAACCGTTTTGGTTTCTTTGGAACTCAGCCCTTTGAGTAAAATAACGTGACAAGAACATTTTACTTTTTATAGATAAAATATTTTATAATCTCTCTTTTATGAATCTATATATGTATATGTTGTGAGGACCTAACCTTTCCTAATGCACTGGTGCAAAATGTGAATTTTCGTTAAATAAAAATAAAATGGTTTTAAAATCCTACCTGCCCAAGCGTTGAAAATACTTCATTAAATTAGTTGGAAATGTATTTTGAATTGAATAACTTTTCAATATTAACGGTTTTTCTTTTACCTTCATTGTTCGAGGTACAAAATGGCGCGTAAAATGCTACAATTATTTCTAATATTATCCAAGAAATTTTAATACGGGTAGCTGATCCATCAAATCCTCAGACAAATTATTTTAGAAAACGAAAGTACGAGTAATGTTCGGTGTTCGTAATGTTGCCATTTCGCAAAAACTTTACGGTTTATGATCTGGATGATAAATGACATAGTACACACGGCTGCAAATCAACTTACTCCATATCTTCCACATTTACAAGGGACTATTAACTTTAAGATTAAGTGATAAAGCTGAATATCGGTTTGAAATTATTGTTCGAATGGTATAGCTTGACCTGCGTTTCGGTGAGTGCTGTACTATGTTTAATTGTATGTTATTATTCAAACTTCCCTTCTATTTCATCGTTCAATTATAAAAGTAGTTCGTATTGTATGAGCTTAACTTTCGTTCTTTTGATTTATTACTTTCTAAACAGGACTTTGGTTTTCGTTTGTGATTTATTGACGCCATTTGTTGATTAGTTCTTTGTTTATTTATTCATCATTCAGAGGCCTAATGTTATATATTAGATACTGTATATAATCTAATCAATCCATATATACTGATCTGGACTACTGGATAGATTTTTTGATTTTGCCATTTACAATTGGGTAGTTTCCTAGGTCAAAAATAAATTAATTTGCTATTTGCTGCAAAAATGTAATGACGTCATAGTTCAGTTTTTCATACAAATTTCGTAATTTAGAAAAGTATCGTTTTTGACGTTTGGATAAAAGTATTGAATTTGACTAGTTAAACTACCGTATTGTACTTACGTGCTAAACGTGGCGAAAAACATTTGGTTCCTCAAGAAAATGTATCAAGACAATAGTGTTGGTTGCTAAGCTGATCTCAGCAAAATAATAACGAAAACCTGTAAGTATAATAACTATTTAAAACTATTGTTTTATCCAATACCAGTAAAAAGTAGTAAGTAATTGAATTTCAAAAGGACCATACCACAACAACTTAATTCACAGACGAATCCGAAGACAAAAATATAAGTAGAAGTAAAAAAAAAATAGCACAATGTCCCTTATGAAAACCAGTAACACTAGTCCTTTTTGATAAAACATCTCCAAGACGGAAATAAATTAATATGTTAATAAACATTTCAACTTGTCGCAACCTGTTCAGCACCTTTGAATCACCAGACATGTCAGGAATGTCGATTATCCTTCATTGGAGCTTCGAAAACAATGGAAGAGGAGTGGAGTCATTCACCGACCTTCGCTGAGATCCCCAAGGTTGTATGAACAATTAGTTCTCGACAATTACTGTAAACATAAAAAAATTTTTTAATTAATTTAATTAGAGAGTATTTAATAAAACCAAGTTGGTGTAAGCTTACCTAGTTCATTGAATATGACGATACTAAATTTTGAAAATCGAAATACATAGACAGAATAGTATTACTTTTAAATAGACAGAGGAAACAAATAGACAGGAGTTTTAATGTTAAAATTAAAGTAAGTATTAATACCATAATAATATGCAAAACAACAGCACGGACCACGAATCCGTGGAGATCTACCTACAATTTTCTTAGTTTTCAAAATTTCAAAAAAGGAATTGTTTTAACATTCTAGACATAAATATTCCTCGCTCTATTGAGAAATTTTGCTAACATCGATCTTTGCAACAAAAAAAAAAAACAAAATTGACTTTTCAATATTCTCAAACCAGTGTGGGCTAGTCCATTGTACTTATTCCTACTTTTCTTCATATGCTTTTAACTTCAACTTCTTCAACCATATACAAATAATAAACAGCCGTTTGTTACTTTTCTAAATTTAAGATGTCTATTTTTGTACAAACAGCAAAACCAGGGTCAAGTAACATAACTTCAATGTATGATTTTTCCGAAGCAAATGTAAGCTGAAATGCCATACGAGAGCTAAAATAATATTTACCTAAACTTGTACTAGTTTATCCTACTAAATAGTCCCTTGTAGAAAATATATATTTTTAGTTTGCGTATTATTCAGCCAATTTAATCCCTGTAGAAGTATATATCTTAATTTTCAAATAGGTATGCTTAAGTCAAAATACCTTACTGTTGTTATAATTTTTAGACGTGGTCGCATTATGCTAATTTATAGGTAGTATTTCAGAAAGGCGTTAACGTCACTAAGCACAAGGGTCTGAGATTGGACAACTTATTGTTTTAAAAAAGTAACGATGGAGTTTCCTTTTCGTTCTTCTTCATTCAAATCTACATTTTCGAATAAGCACCTAGCTTCATTGACGGACAAACTGGCCAACTTAAGATTGGGGATGGGGGTTTAAGTTTAGATACTATAGGTGGTAACCACAATTTTAGGAATCTCATCAACTGTGCATCTTTGTGATAAGATAGGTGCTATAGCAGAAGATACAAGTAAAACCTAGAAATTACCTAAGTACGCAAAGAAAATTACGTAATTGTTAGAACGTAATTATTTGTTTTTCTAATAACATTGTCATCGTACTAGAATGTCATTTTACTTTTATGTTCTTACTATATCCGTGTGAACAAAGAGAGCTTGCGAAAAATATTATTTGCACAATTTGTTTGCGACTTCCTTCAGGAAGAACTCGTACATAATATTGCAGCAAATAAGCATAATAGGTATTTGAGTGTGCACTAAGTGCCTTGTCTAATTAACTTTTGATGGTGATTCGATTTATGTTGAGTTCACAGTTCTATCAACGAAAAGTACTTCCCTTTACTTCTGGACTACCCGCCTGAACGTGATAGGCAACTGGCTGCCGTGCAACGTGTCGTGGATAATTGCTGCACTGAACATGACAATGTGTGATGTTCAAAAGTTTCACGTTCAAAATGCCTATGAGTTTGTAATTGAAATAAATGATTTTGACTTCTGATTGTCATCCATTCAAAATAAAGGAGAAAATCCCAAGAAAATTTTAAAGAAAAAAATAGTAATTTCCACAATATTCGCCTCAGAGATGCCTAGGCGCTGGATGTGTTAAATTTGAAGGAAATATTGTGATAGTCTAATAGCCAGTCAGTCCTTCACGCTGTTAGTTAAACAGCGAGTATCTATGGAGTATTTAGCTAAAAGATATTATTATAAAGCTTTGATATATTATAGCAAGATATATTATATAGCTAAATACTCGCTGTATTTAGCTAAAAGATATTATTATACTATAAAAAATGTTTTGGCCATATGATATGAAAAAGCCAAGAAAATGCTAAAATTGAAGGTAACTTGACTTTTCGACTACTGAAGCAACGTTTCGACAATAGATAAATTAGATTTTTATGAAATAAAATGGTGTTCTGAAATAAAACTGTTTGCGAGGGTATATCTCATTTGAAATGACACTAATTTTATTTAGACAGGCGTATGGATAATACGATATGATTGGTCTACACGCCTTCAGAAATATAATCAGTTTAGACGTCTCGTGTTAAGTTTTAACATAAGTTCGTTATTTTGTAATAGTAATAATTGAATGTTTATAGATTTTAATATTTATCCTTACGATATTGTCCTTTACCGTACGACAGTGGTGTCTAACAAACTTAGAAAATAGTAGGTACATATAATTTGGAGAATTCCCATTAGTATTTGTTAGGTTTTGACCCCACGTCCTCATGCAAGAGAAGCGGGCGCCTCAGCATTGAAACATGGATTAATAATTTCTAATTAGGTATAAATTTGAAATCGCGTGTTCAAAATAAGTATTAATGGTCAAATCTTTTAAAGGTTAAGAACATTTTCAATTATTAATAAAATTGTAGTGTGTTTTTTAATTAGTTTTTATTTCTTTTATTTGTGCGTTATCGGAGAGATTTTTTTTTACTTGCATCTCATCTCAAATCTAGTGCTTGACTGCGATCCCACTTAGTGGTAAACAGTGATACAATCTTTGATGGTAAGGCGCACTAGTTTATGAAGAGCCTTTTATATTTCGGTCTTTTATAACGGGATCGAGAGCATGGCCTGCGTTTGTGCTATCATAGACGCATCAGAACTCCACTGGTGGTACCTATTCATGGAAAAATACTAAATGACTATCTTCAAACAAAAAAACGTTATTAAAACAGAACTTGTTTTGTATATCAACACCTAAACCTATAATAGTCAGTGTGCAATTACTTCACTTGATAGTACACACCGCGGGTACAGTTTCAACACTGGGCTTAATCGAGCATCGCCCAGTTTAGGAGTTACAAAAGACAATGCATGAACGTACTACGAATTGATTCTATTTACATACGTACTTTGGTACAGTCAGGCGTACGAGTTTTATTATGTTTTTTAAATGTGTATAGGTCAGTACGTTACCTTTTAAAATTTCTCTCGATTCTAGAGTATGCCAAAA